TCTTGGTCTTCCAAAAAGCAACCCACAGTTTCACGCTCATCTGCCAAATCAGAATATAGGGCTGTTGCTTCTGCTATTACCGAGACAGTTTGGTTAGAATATCTTCTTTCTGACCTCTTCATCAAACTTCCCAAGAAGCCAGTTATTCTTTGTGATAATGTGTCTCCCACATATCTTGCTGCAAATCCGGTCAATCATGCTCGAACCAAGCATATCGAACTGGACATCCACTTTGTTTGAGATAAAGTTTCTGCTGGCCATCTTACTGTTGAACACATACCAACTGCTGATCAATGAGCCGATCTACTCACGAAGTCACTCTCCAAAACAAAGTTCTATGGTTTTCGATCCAATCTTGGCATGATCGCTCCTCATGCTTCGATTGCAGGGGGATGATAGAATAGAAAGTATTCTGTAATTATCTAGTATAGAAAGTATTGTAATTGATAGCATAGAATCGGTAGAGATCAAATCAAATCAAATCAAATCATCTCTTGTAATTATCTTGATTGTATACCAGTCTACATATAATGAAACAACATGCTGTGATCTCATTCATGGAGAATCACTCATCTTATTCTATTCTTTTAGATAGCTCCATGTAATTAGCACCATCTCCTTTACCTCCTTTACCCGCGCGGTACCCGCGCGTAAGAGATAGAGGAAAAACTGAAGGCCTACTGCGTGGTAGACTTGGAGGATGATGCTGAAGGAATAGTCATCTTGGTTGCACAATTTTGTTGCTAGATGTAAACCAGGAAATCACCAGAATTCGACTTCTTGTCCAAGTAGGTTTAGGAAATCCTCCATTAATGGAGAAGACAGAACTGTTTCTCCTCTTCGAAGTCTTTTTAAGCAATCCTCCATTGATGAGCTTTCGACAGATAATAATTTTTCAACGTCCATAGCAGGAACACAAGTTGCCAGAGCTTCCCACCTTTTGAAGTTATTTATAGAAGCAACAAAACAAAACCACTAACATATCCAAATCCTAGTCCGAATACTAAACAAATCACCATATGTATAGAAAAATAACCAAATCCTTATCCAAATTAATTTCAATGATACTGAGTTCATTCACAAACCCCGGTTGGTTAAACTGGAAATGCATGGTTGTAATTAAATTATATCCTGTATGGAAATGGCTTCCAAAACAGGTGAGGTGAAACTTACATGACGGTTCTTCTAACTTCTCAAGATCTCTTGACACGCGGCTTCAAAAATCAAACCAAACTTCCATGAGAAAACGGAAAATTATATCCGGGGCTCCACGTACGTGTCACGTACAATCGTACATTAAGCTTCCCTTGCAAGGAACTCCTAGGAGCTGCATCTTATTGGGCAGAGTTTTGATTTATCAATCAAATCGAACTTCGTTGAGATCCCAAGTCGAAAAGTGCTATATGGTCCAAAATATAGACTGATTTCAGGCTATTTTTTCAGAGGCTAAAATTGAGAGGAAGGATTGACTTGGATATGTAAATATTTTTCTTGATTTGATTGATTATCAGTTGAAAAGGGAATTGAATTTAGATGATATAAAGTTAACCATCATTGAATTTAGAAGATATAAGGTTTGTGCAGATACAAACTCTAGGATTTGAAAGGTTTTTTATGAGTGTTATTAATCAACCTGGCCCTCAATTAAGTTTGTAAATAATTTACCACAACATTGACGAAATTATACAGTGATGTACAATTCCAGTGTAAATCTTAAGCATGTTGTGAAACCCTTTTTTTATGGCCATTCCAAGCAGAGGTATATATCAACTATCTTGTAACCAATGATGGTTACAAAATATCATGTTGGGATCAATATGGCTTGTTTATATTACGGGGAAAGAGGAACAGGAGGCTGTGACAAATCCTAATAAGAGAGGATGTGATTCTGAAGAAATGTTCAAGGCTGGAATCAAGATTAGAATACTGAGGTGTTTTAGAATGAACTGAGAAGCAAATCTTTAGTCATTGGTTTCCCTAGTTTTTTTATGTACTAAGTTTGCCTTTTGAACTGTTTCAGATGGATGCAATTGAGCAAGAGTATGGCCAGTGGTAAAAACTAAAAACTGTATATATACACTGATGCAAATAGTAGTATAATTTTGGTGAGCTTAATAGGAAAAAAAAAAAAAAATACTTATAATCATTTTGATATGATTTCGTCAAACTCGGTTAACGGATCACCATGTTGAGTTATTCTAATAGAGCAAATTAAGAGGAAAATATGGACATTATCCGAAGTTAATATAGCAATACAACATTCCATCACCAAGAAAGTTTATTTTAAAATTTTAAACCAAGAAGCTGATCGACAATTGGGACTGGTTTGATGTTTCCAAAAGTATATAAATTATCAAAAGAACTTAACTTCACAAGCTTCCGATCCTTTCTTGAAATTGATTATTTTCTCAGCTATGCGAAATTTGGCTTCAAGGTCCTGACATTTCTTCTCAGTTCTTATAAACTTTTCCTGAAATTCACGTGCTTTCCGACCTTTGACGGTGCAGCTAACTTTGGAGTTTTTGAGTTAAACAATGATTCAAAAAAAGGAGTAGAGATAAATAAAGGTCGAATTTTGGGGAAGAGCAAAATACCGATATCGGATTCCTAAAATCCGATTTTCCAATAAAATCGGATTCTCAAAATCCGACCTTTACTTAATACTAAAAATTAATAAAATTAATCAAGATTAAGACAAGGTCAGATTTTAAAAATCCGACCCTATCATATTAAAATAAAATATTTTTAAGAAAAACACTTAGCTTTTTTTTTGAAATAAAATTTTGACCAAGGTCAGATTTTTAAAATCCGATTTTATTATAAGGTCGGATTTCAGAAATCCGGGTAAGCTTAAATCGGATTTTGAGAATCCGGGTAAGATAAGTTCGGATTCTCAAAATCTGATTCTCAAAATCCGATTTCTTAGTAAATCTGACCTTGGACAGAAACTTTGAAAAAAATAAAGGATTGGTTTCTAAACCAATCCCAACCTATCAAAACAGCACCAAAACCAAATTTCACGCTTAAAATTACCTATAAACACATTCTAAACACATCGAAACAAACATTAACAAATTCAAATTCCAAAATCATCCAAATTAAAACATTTATACATTAAAGAGCTATAAATCAAAGAGTCCTACAATTGAATTACTTTGACGACCTTTTCTTCTTTATAGCCCTGTCGCCGGGAGTATACTTCTTGGCCGGTTTACTAACCCTATCACTCTTGCGAACCTCGACCGTTTTCTTTTTCTTTTGGGAAGAAACACGAGGTGGATAGGACTCTTCTTCTTCACCCCTAATGTAGTAATCCTCATCGCTTTCATTGCCTTCATCATTTTCTTGCATCGGAGTTGGATTGGGATGAACTATGATTGTTCGATCTGAAATTCCCGGTCGCTTCCTCCTTCCTCCTCCAGTAGGCTTCGATGTTGTTTTTTGCGTGAGCACCACATTTTGACTTGACTCTGGGGGTCTTTTCTGAAGAACTTGAGTATCGGGCTGAGTGCTCATATCACGTGGGCCAAAAGTCAGGGCACTGAAACTCTTGTCGAAGATTTGGAAGAGTTTATCCTCTAGACTACCACCGAGGCCTGGATTTTCTCGTAAGGCTGCATCAACGAGATGATATATGTCGCTGAGATTTGAAGACTACAGAAAATTGAACCATGTTAATAAAGTATAAGATATAGCAAGAATTAAAAAATTAAAAAATTTTAAAATAAAATATTGATATATATCTTACATAGAATCTCTCCAGAGATGAAGACGAGTGATAACCCTGTGCCAGAGGGCCGTATTGAGTGGGATCAGTCATAAATCTGATAGTCTTCTTTTGAAACCACGGCATGTAGTCTGATGTGCATTGAGGACCTAGTTCCGGATCAACCAATTCATGAGGGACCACGTGCTGATCTCTCACATTCCAATGAGGTCGTACCTCGGTGTGTTTTTGCACCCAATCATCATATGCCTTTCCAGTCCCAAGGCATCTGTGGTGTATCGCATTCTAGCGATCAATGTTATTGATTAACGGGTACTCTAGCACAATTTGCACGCATTGAAATTGACGAAGGACCCGATTGGGCTCGTATGGTTCTCTGATGGCCCAACAAAAGATCCACGTCCTACAGAGGTAGAAATGAACCCCCTCTTTACAGAAATCAGGGATATCGTCGATGAAGGGAGTGTATGGAGTCCATAGAAACTGTCCAAAATTAAAAAATTGGTAAAAAAAATAGAGAAAAAAATGAAAAGGAATTTTATCGAGCAACTTAAATCAATACTTACATCCCCATCCCTTAGGCTAGATAACTGATCTCTGATGCTTGCAACACAATGAGCGGCGATGTTCACTTTGGATTTTGGGCATTTCCACCTACGATTGAGACATAATAAGAAATAAAAATTAATAAAATAAATCATTGGATTGAGACATAATAGGAAATAAAAATTGATAAAATAAATCTATAATTACCTATTGTCTAGTGGTGCGTCCGGCACCAAGTAACTCTCATCTTTAACCTTCCTCTTCGGTTGAAGTCTTGGGATACGCTACCAAACCCATAACTGAAATTTTAAATTAAACAAAAAAGGCACAAATTAGGAAAACAAACAAAAATATAATAAAAAAATATAAATAAACAAAGAAACAAAAAAATTTACCTGCATCAGTATATAACATCCGATAATGTCTTTTTTCCCGGGCGCGGAAGCTTGACACAAAGCAAGTACAACTTCACTAACATAGCTGACGCCCAACTGTAGGTAGCACACACATCAAGGCTAGGTTTCTACAACTGCCGTTGTTATTATCAAAAGATCATCTTCATTAGTGATTTTCATTCTGTATTTTTCCTATCCTTATCAAATGAGTTAGTTATTGACAGAGAAGCTGTAATAGTTTATAAATAGAGTCCTTGATGTACTATTGTTAGGCGAGATGAATACAGTACAAAGTATAATTCAGTTTTTTCATTCGTGTGTTTTCTTCCCTTTTAATTAGGAGTTCTGGAAACTTGGTTTTTAGCTGCAATGACCCTAACCTTTGTTAATCCGAGAACTTCTAGTTTCTCGAAGCATTGAAGAAAGTCTGGAAGCATGGGACGCCAAACACATCTAGCTCCCAAAGTTAAGTGAGTTAATTTCAAGAGCTTCACCGATGGAAATCCTTGTTCCAATTTGAGTCCCTACAGAAATAGCGAACAGAGCCGTATATCATTACATACTCACATATATATATATATATATATATGTTACTCTATCAAGACAATTTCATCAAATTTTGGAAGAAAAGTATCATATTCAGCAGCAATGCAAAGTTGCAAACAATACACGTAAAAGAAAAAGGAACGAGAGAGATGGTGGTAGTAATAGTAGTAGCTTACTCTTGTTAAACCAGACAAAGAAAGAAACTTCACATTGCTAAATGCTTCGAGACACCTGATGAGAGATAGACAAGAGCGCCCCTTGTTCAAATCAAGCGTTGCTTTGTACAATGAGCCCACATTTGCAACCAATAGAGGATCCGAGATATAATATTTGACATCAAGATATTGGAGAGCAGGGGCATTTAACTCTAGAATAGTTTCATCTTCACGATCTCTATCAGTATAAAAAATGTTATTGCCATAATGTATTTTGAAAGATCTCAGAGTCGGCTTGTGTATGCGGAGCTTTCGCACTTCGTCACAAGCATTTCTCTGAATGGACAAATTTTCTAGGGCCACACAACAAGAGATCAGATTAGCAGCTGATTCATCATCTAAAAACCTCAGGAAATTGAGGTAAAGTGACTTCAAATTTGGAAGGCAGGCTGTACTAGGAACCATGATCCTTATCCTTCCACTCAACTTGAGTACCACAAGCGTTTTGCAAGAAAAGACGCTTGGGGGCAACTCAAGATGTGAATACTCGAAACCGAGATCCAACTCTTCAACATTACTGGTAATCGCCTTCATAAGCCATGGTTCAGCTTCGACATTGTACGGGCTATTGATGGAACATTTGATTCTAAACTTCGAAATGAATACAGAATCGTGTTGAAGTCACACCCTATTGACAAAATTCTGTAAGCTCATTGTGGCTCTATCACAATAGTAGCTTCTACGGTCCTCAAAATTAAGGCAGGGACACTAGTCCAGAGAAGTTTCCATCTTTTCGCCAAGAGACCAGTTGGGACAACATCCCTTGTGGGCAGAAACGATAGAATATGCAGCAAAAGTGAATCTGGTAAATTACTGATCCTATCCACTTGTATAACTTCGATTTTTCTTGATTTCTGGGGCTTAGGGTTTAGGGCTCGAATTTCCATGAGCAGTAGATTGAGCATTAACTAGGTTAGAAGAAAGACATATCCAGAAATACCATCAAAAATCAAAAAGAGCCCTCAAACTAAATCATGTTGGTCTAAACCGAATTCAATTACAATCAAAATAAAGGGTGCTACATGGAGTACTAATAAGAGACCGAAGAATTAAAAGAATAATAAGTATTTAACCTACCAAACATTGGATTCATTTCAGACTTCAAACAGCAGCTTAATTAGGTTTATACCAGCCTTGGTTTTTTTTTGTCTTTTTCACCATGTGGGATGAAGTGAAACAGCTTTCTATTCATTGAAATTCTAGATTTCTGTCCTCTCTAGGTTTTCATTTTGAAGGAAACGCGGTGGCAGAGCTGGGAGGGGAGGAAGCGGGAGAATTTTATCCCTTTTAAGTTTAATTTATTTATTCTAAAGTTAATATCTAATGTTGGGAGGGCACCCCCACATTTCGTTCGTCCGTACAATTGCCAAGACTTCACATGTGTGAGTTTGATTCGTCCATAAATTCTACGTGTCCATTACTGATTGGACTTTTTTTCCCCTAAATTAATTGGGGGTACTAAACGCCCTAATTTTTTCCCTTGAGCGCCCTCATTTAATACCAAAATACCATTTTACCCCTACCAGATTTTATAAATTATTAGTTTCAATTTCATTCTTTTAATTCCTAAATCAATCTTTCATTTTAAATTCTCTCATTCTTAAATCCAAAAAACTCAGATTTAATGGCGGAACGAATGAAACGGCTACGGAAAGAAGTACGGAAACTCAAGGTACGTTCAAATTTGAGGTTTTTTTTTTTTTAAAATACACTGCCTCGGCCGGTGATGGAGGACCTCACTGGGGCAAGTAGAGCCGGCGCGGATCTCCGTCTCCCCCCCCCCCTCTTTGGAAAAAAAAATATACTTTTATTGTGCAGAGGGTGTATCCGTCTTTCGGAGGCGCTCAAATGAGAAAATAAAGGCGCTTAACAGGTGTTTCTGTGGTTTAGTGTTGATGGTGTTTGAAATTGTTCATGAACTTTTCCTCTCTCCCCCCCTCCTCTCTCTCTCTCTCTCTCTCTCTCTCTCTCTCTATATATATATATATATATATATATATATATATATTCTGAGCTTGGTGATTCCAGGATGAGTATTGCAATGAGATATTGGATCCTCTCGAACTAGGATCGTCGAGTGGCTTCCAAAGGTTAGTGAAATTGTTCACTTTCTGAAATTTTGCCATTTTAATCTAGCCGAGAATCGTTCCCAATTGCATCTTTGAGAACCTAAGCATTTGTTTCTCCCGAAATCTTAGCTGAGCGTTGTAGTATTTCTTTATAGATAGAAGGTAGGAAGCTAACGGGTTCTTCATATGTTATGTGTTCTTTAAAATGAAATCTGACTAATATTTTGAAACTCTGTTTGGTTAGTTTATGCTTAAGTGATAGATTCCGGCTTTCTTGCTTACCAGGGAGTGTTTTATTTAATGAAACTATTATTTTTTCAAAAAATTGTGGTGCTTGGATATTATGTAGAATGATTGGGTACTTTGTAAGGAAAGTCTTAAATTCCTTAGTTTAGGATGAAAAGGAAACATCCTCTGGTACTGAATTAGTGAAAGTTATATTAATGTGAAGGGGAGACTAAATGATAGAGGTGTCCAATTAGTGCTTTTACTCATTTGCAAATTGTTAATTTCCAATCCTCATGCTAAAAGTTTAGTCTAACTTGAGTTTTGCCCTTCTATTTTTGCAGTGTTCATCAAGGCATGTGGCCGAGGTGAGCCTTTTCTTCTTGGCGTGTTAGAACTTTGCTCTCTTTTTTACATTGTTTTGTTATTTTGCGAAGTATTCACACCTGTCTTTTCTACTCTCTTGAGTTTTAGTTTGTAGCAATTAACTTGGTGATCAGATAATTTTGGTTGGCTTATGATTTTGTTTATTGTATGTTTAGTGTCTTGAATGACATTTTTGTGAAATGCCATTTTCTGAGAAGAAACTGCCACATTGAGAAATTTTACATGGCTACACATAGAAGTGGAGCGAGTTCATTCCATGTTCAAATTCTGACCATGCGTGTATTAACGTGAAACACTCCGAGTAATTAATTAGACATCTTCTCATGTTCCAGCTGTGATTTGAATTCTACAAACTAAGGAAAAAAACTCTATTAACTCTCTGAAGAGGTAACTTCCTTATTTTCTATAATGTTTAACTTTCTTACTTCTATTAATTTGATTTTTCAAGGAATATTTCTTTGTTTGTAGTGATCATTTTTCCTTTCTTTGATCATCTGTTCAATCTTATCAGGAAAATTATATGGATGATGATTTCTATACACTGTGCAATGATACATTGGAATTGGTGGCTCACGGAGCTGGCGGTTACAAAGACATGTACTTCACCTGCGTCAATCATCTTCGCTTCATCTATGGATACTCTAGTTGTTGTAAGTCTGGCATCCTTTTTGTCACCTAGGTGGTCCTTTCCTCTTTCCCTCCTTCTCTGGCTTCCTCCCGGTTTATTTCCCTGTTAATTTTTTGTTTACCTTACGGATTATCATCAAATTGTGGAGATCTGTTTTTGGGTTCATATGTAAAAGAGCTACACATCAACAATTAGTAATGAACAGATAACTCATTAGTGCTGTGGAAAGTAGCTGAGTGAAAGGGCCGTTCCTGTTTTAACTGAACATAATTCACTAGTATTTGTACACCAGATTAAAATGGGTAAATAGCTCATTATGCTAGCATTTAACTGTTTTCACTGCTTTAAAATTGTCGTTTTGAAAACTGACAAGTGTGTGTTGCAAAAGTGGGAGTGCGTTTTATCATATTTTAATTTTGGCCAAAAAATGGGGTTCCTTTAAAGGTGCAATTTGGTGGGATTATCAGATTAAGCAGTTCGTTGTTAATGTGCTCATGCTTTTGTGTTGCAGACTCTTGGAGAATAAACTAGTACAATTACTGGTTTTTTTTTTTTTTTTTTAATTTTGCCTTCTCAACCAAAGGAAAGGACCAGCACCTTTTTTTGCTGAATTACTTTTTGCAGTTATAAAAATTACTCATTTACAATCGTTAGGACAATTTTGCCCTCTTCCTCCTCTTCTTACTCTTTCTTCTCCTTTCTTGAAAAATATAATTATTGATCCTACTCATTTAAACAAACTAATTTTGAAAAAATTTAATCACTAACTACAATGTATATAGCAAGAATAATAATAATAACACAAAGATATAATTAATACTAAATTAAATTTTATTTATATAAACAACAAATACTAATACTATTCATTTAAATTTAATTAAATTTAAAAATTATAAACAACAAAGATTAATACTACTTATCTAAAAGAACTAATTATTAAAAAATATAATAAATAACTAAAATTAATGTAACACAAAAAAATTTGAAAAAAAATTTCTGGTCAGGGATAGCCGGCCCGAAACCGGCTACCCAAGGAGGACCAGCTGGCCCAAGACCGGCTATCCAAGGAGAGGTAGCCGATCCAGAACCAGTTACCTCTCGTTGGGTAGCCGGTTTCGGGCCGGCTGGTCATTCTTGGGTAGTCGGTTTCGGGCCGGCTACCCCTGACCAGAATTTATTTTTTTAATTTTTTTTGGTTTTATATTTATTTTAGTAATCCATTATATTTTTAAATAATTAATTTTTTTTAAATGAGTAGTATTAATATTTGTTGTTTATATTTTTTGAATTTAATTAAATTCAAAAGAGTAATATTAGTAATTATTGTTTATGTAAATGAAATTTAATTTAGTATTAATTATATTTTTTTGTTATTGTTATTATTCTTGTTATATTCATTTTATTTATTGATTATATTTTTAAATAATTAGTTTTGTTCAAATGAGTAGGATCAATAATTATATTTTTCAAGAAATGAGAAAAATAGGAGGAAGAGGGACAAAATTATCCTAACGAATGTAAATGAGCAATTTTTATAACTGTAAATAGCAAAACCCCCTCATTTTGGTATCATGAGGTATCATTGGACACATGAGCATTCTTTGATGATGTTGATCACTATAAATGGTCAAGGCAATGTGCAAGCTCTCTTGTAGCGCATATGATAAGAAAGCAATCGAGGGAGGCACAAACTAAGTGGCCAATGGTGGATCGAGTAGAGCATCCAAGTTTTGGAACATTGAATTGCTCGAGAGCCATATTTTGTACCAGCATAAGTTGTTTTAGGTGCAGCTTGGTTTGGAAGGAATGAATGTTTTTATGCATATGGTTTTTTCTTGTTCTGTTTTTAGCATGTAATTTAGCTAAGAAGATTGTTGGATGCGCAAATATTGCGAATTGGAGCCAGGTCAAGTCTGTTATCACTAAATGCCGATTTGAACTTTCTCTTTGATATGAAATGGTTATCTTTGTAAATTCGTATAGGTTTAATGCTCTGATGTCTACAAGTTTCATTGGTTCAATGTTGCAAAAATATTGGAGAGCACCGAGTTATGGCTAACCAAAATTGTGTGTGCAAAAATCTATGTAGACTTGGATGCTTGGTGAGATTGATAGAAATTTAGCATCAAAGATTAGGTTATTATTGGCACTGTACAAACCAAGTGGAGAACTTTGTTCTTTAACCTTTCTTTTCATCAAAGATTAAAAGTTTGTGTCTCAACACAAGTAAAGGAAGATTCCTCCTTTCCAACTACATTCATTTGAGACTGTCTGTGCCAGTTGTAAATAATTGAAAACTAAAAATTGTGGAATTATAAGAATATCGTTATTTGTTTATCTTTGAACTCTGATGGTACATTGCCGTTTATCTCTCACCACAGCTGCTATTATGTCTGCTATTTATGAGGAGAACAATGATAAAGATGGCTTCCTCCCCATGACTTACAATCTCCTTTCATTTTGGACACAATTTATCCAAAATTGTGAAGTTCTTCTCTTGTATTAACTTCATATATAACCGATCCAGCATTTTGTTGAAGGAAGACCCTATTAACACGAGAAATTTGATTCATTTTTGTGTGATGTTTGCAGGGCGGAACTAACATAGTGTCCAGGGGGTCATCTGACCCCTGGGCGGCCAGAATAGCCATAGGATTCTAATGGCGAAAGTTCAAGTTGGTTTTACCTGTTCCTTTTGAGCTCCCCCGAGTTTCTAAAAAAAAAATATAAATTTTAAAAGGCATTGAGAAGAGAATATGCATCAAAAAGAGAGAGGGAATAAAAAAAATACTCCCTCCGTCCCATAATTATTGTCCACTTTAACCAAAAATTATTGTCCAATTTGACTTTTTATGGATCAAGTTACACATTTGTCCTTAGTAAAAAACATTATCCATAAAATTTTAGTGGTTAAACAATTACTTATGTAGGGGTATATCCGGTTGTTTAAGGTAAAATATAGTTAAGTTTGATCAAAAATAAAATCTTTCATTTTAGTAAAACTGGACAATAATTATGGGACGGAGGGAGTAATATGTAAAATTTAATATGGCTGGCCGGCCTTTGTTGTAGCGTCAAACAAATGAAGGAGAAGAAGACGTAGAGGTTAATAACTATTAATATTGCTAATTTGGTGAATGTAGTTCTATAGTTTTTCAATCGAACCCCAATTTCTTTAAAATTTTTTAAAAAATCCATATAAAGTCTTAAGGATTTATTGACCATCCCCTTTCATGTACATTATTCCCTCCATTCCAGAATAAATGTCATTCTACAACTTGCACACAGTTTAAGAAACACTTGAATATGATAGTTAGATTACTAGAATATCCTTAACCTAACCATAATAATACATATGTTTGCCAATAATACTATTTCTTTTGAGAGTAATTTTGAAAATATTGGACAAAAAGTGTATTAGAATTAAAAAATGACACTTATTTTAGAATTTCTCTATTTTGTTAAAACAATACTTATTTTAGAATGGAGAAAGTATAATTTAATCCTTCATTACCAACTACAATTTTCAGAAGTCCCAAATCAAGCCTTAAAATACAATTTAAAATGTTTTTAGAATACAAAATTTATTTATTATAAATAAAAATATTTTAAATATGAGAAAAAAGAAAAAAAATTATTTTAAAATCTAGTCCCCCCAAAACTGTAAGTCTAGTTCTGACCATGGATGTTTGGGATAGCTCAATTGAACTGATGATGCGGTCTGAATGAAAACTGACGCTTCATCTTCATTACAATTTTTTATTTTTGAAAAAGCATTCTATTTGTCCCACAATTAGAATCCAGTTTAAGTTTTTAATTTAGTATAATTTGAATTAAAAATAAAAATATGATTTGGACCATCATTTTAGGACGAAAAAGGTATTCGGATAACATATTTCATTGAATTTTTTATCATTGAATCTGGGGTACAAATCTATTTTATAATTATTATGTACGTGGTTCCAATTCCGAAATATACTACCTCTTTTTCACAATATAAATCCATTTTGAGTTGATAATTAATAGATAAAAAGTCCATTTTTACCATAATTAATAAGGCCAACTACAAACTTAACTCAAAACGATTATAGAGACAAGTGTAATATTACTAAAACAAAGGAAAAGAGAAGGAAGAATTGCTGATTTAAGTTTTTGGCTTTTTTTCCATGCGGTTATGTGTGGTTTAAGGATTTTAAGTATTGATTGTTACTAAAACAAAGGAAAAGAGAAGGAAGAATTGCTGATTGTTCTTATTATGTTATGTTCTATAAGTGCATGTTATGAGTGTTGAAGTTGCTGATTGTTGTTGTTGCCATTAAGTACTTTAGACTGGTTCTCTGCATAAAATAGAGGAAGATGAATGAAGTTAATGATGTCCCATCTTGTTACAATCGAATGTGAGGAAGGGGAAATGAGAAAAGGAATAGGGACATAAGTTAAGCCTTTAAGGCATAAATTGCATGCTATGTTAGTTGCTGGAATTTGTTTATTGAATGTGGAAATGAGTAATGGATGCTCTGGAAGTCAAGATTTGGCTTGAAAATGATTGAATGTGATCAAAACAAAACATGCTTACTCTCTGTTTCATGGAAATGCTGACAATCAGACTCCAGTTCGCCTGTTGAACGGCTCATTTCTCCTATTTCCTGAATCCTTTTGGAGGATTTCTTTATATGAATCTCCTCTATGTTTAATCTAGTTTAATACGGTGTAAGCATTAAATAATTAGTTTGATCGTTTAATTAGTGAGAGACATTTGGATGATGAATCAGATGCTAATTACGGATCACTACTGTAGAATTATTGTCTCTAAAAATATGCTGCAAATATATATATGCTTTACTCAAAAATAAATAACTAGAGTTAATATCTCTAGCTTCATCTCAGCATCTAAAATGGGTGTACAAAATTACATGATTTGTTGAATTTCACATAATACTAGTACGAGAAAATCCAAGTGGATGAACCTCTCTTTAAGGAAAATAAAAAATAAAAAGTCAAAGAATTGGTAACAGTAAGACAGTTAGTATTTATTTGGATGATTCTGTACGTTGACTGGAGAAACTTTGGAAGATGAAACAGGTTAAACTAATCCCAGTATTCTGTCAGCTAATGATACCCTTCGTGCGTAATCACCCCTTATAATTCCAATTCTGATTCCGATAAATCCCTTACAAACAGTCTTCCAATTCCTTTTCTGCATTATATGTTTTCCCTAAAAAAAAAAAAAATCAACATATCATCATCATCATCGTCATCGTCGTCCCAAAGTCAACTTATATGTAACAATCAAGAGATAGTTTATTTGGATAAAAATCAAAATTGTGAAATTGTTTATAGTCATTGACTAGATACAGTTAACCAAAAATGGTAGCTGAAGGGGATTAAATTAATCCCACAACGACTTGATCATTTGTCAGCAACTAATGATGCCCACTTCTTCGTCATCGACCCATATAAATTGATTTCTTCTTCCAACTCAAATTCAATTAAGTCTACACACTTTCTCCCTTAATTTTTATCCATCCATCATTTTATTTTATATATTTTCATCGTCATCGATGATGACGAATTTCAAGGTCACGAGGCAAACGCCGGTGTTAGTTCGTCCGGCAAGGCCAACCCCGCATGAAATGAAACCTTTATCCGACATTGACGATCAAGAAGCCCTTCGCTTTCAGGTCTCCGACATACTTTTCTACAAAACAACATTTTTAAATAATGATCATGGCGTTAAGGAGAAGGATCCTGCGGAGATAATCAAATCGGCTTTGGCAGAAACGCTAGTGTTTTACTACCCATTTGCCGGGCGGCTCAGAGAAGGCCCTGGAAGGAAGCTCATGGTGGATTGCACCGGAGAAGGCGTGTTGTTTATTGAGGCAGATGCCGACGTTACGCTGGAGGAGTTCGGGAAGGAGATCCGGCCACCGTTCCCGTGTATGGATGAGCTATTATTTAATGTTCCGGGATCCGATGGAATTCTTCATACTCCTTTACTTTTGATACAGGTAAATTAGACGCACATCCCTCATCCCAGTAAATTCATATTATATACATTTCGTATCGATCGTAGCTTCATAATTAGCGTGATATTAACTATTAAAGAAAATAATGATAGTAAGTTAATTATTTGGTAACGTTTAATCAATAAGGTTCAATTATTTCGTTTGTTCCATTTTGTAAACTTCACGATCTATGTTATTTTCTTGTTAATCAAAGGATATGTGTGTATCTCTAATAATGATCTCATTTCTAGATATTTACAACTTGTGAAGATGATTCAGTGAAGAAAAATATACAATGAATACCTAAAAAACCTAACTTTACCAATAGGAATATATGAGCTGATGAAGATAACATATATATTTGATCAACAGCGGCCATGTTGAATTAGCTTTGCAGTTGGGAATGATGATGAGTTGGGAATTAATGCAGGTGACTCGTCTTCGATGTGGAGGTTTTATCTTTGCCTTACGTCTCAACCACACCATGTCGGACGCTGTAGGAATTGTTCAATTCTTGATGGCTTTGTCGGAAATAGCCAGAGGAGCTTCTACTCCCTCTATCCTCCCAGTGTGGAAGAGAGAGCTAATGAATGCCAGAAATCCACCAAAAATAACCTACCCCCATCATGAATACGACCACATTGTACCAAACCCTATTGATAGTGACAATCTGGTGTATAAAACCTTCTTCTTTGGTCCCGAAGAGATCTTCTCCCTCCGGTCCTACCTTCCTCTTCACTTGAGAAACAAGTGCTCCAAATTCGAAGTCATCACCGCCTGTGTCTGGCGTTGTCGCGTCAATGCCCTCCAACTCGATCCGGACCAAGAAGTTAGGGTTCTCTATTATGTTGATGCTCGTCCTAAATTTGACCCTCCATTGCCAAAAGGGTACTATGGGAATGTTTTGGTCACCCCAGTGGCGCGAACAACCGCGGGAAAGCTAACGGAGAATCCATTAGAGTTTGCAATGGAATTAGTGATGAAGGCCAAGTCGGAGGTGACTGAAGAGTACATGAAATCAAACGCGGACCTAATTGTTATGGGAGGTCGTCGACCAAACGTTGAAAAGTTGTCGAGTTCTATATTCTTGGTTGCCGACCTGACGCGAGTCGGGTTCGATGAAGTAGATTTTGGATGGGGAAAACCGGTATTTGTAGGGTTAGCCATAGGTGATATGCAAGAGATCCATATGGTGAGTTCTAATTACCTGCCGTCCGTGAATAAAAAAGGGGAAAAAGGCATACTTGTTACAATATGCTTGCCTGAATTAGCCATGAAGAAGTTTGTTCAATTGATTGAAATGACAGTAAAGAGGATCGAGTGAGATGGTGAAGATGATGAAAGAGGTCGCCGCAATATCATTAGATCTTCGTTAAAAGAGCAATATTTTTAACAAAAAGAATAATTAATTAAAATGGTAGTTGGAGTTCCCTTCACGAAAACTTGAACGTTGTACACTTCCACTGTCTGTGAATAGTTATTTAGTTTGAATTGTACTTTTGACACAATTGTAGATAATTATTTTGGAATAGAAAAAATATATGTTATTCTCTTTTTTTTTTGCCTATGAACAAATGGTGGGCATAGCCTAGTAAACTATTGCATTTCTTGGGTATGAGACCCCCACTCCATCATGATGGAGCCAGGGTTTAACAAATGCGGCTGGTTTTTTTTTTTTTTTAAATCTACATATAAAATTGAAAACATGTCCCAACTTTTCTATACACCCTATAACCAAAAACAATGATGAAATTGATTTTCTTGTCTTAGTACATTTCCAAACTGTAAAATTAATCGGTCAGATGGAGTTTGTAGTATATGGAAGATATTTCTCTGAATCAATTCAGCAAATGAGATAAGATTACGATGATTCCATGTCCCAAAAAAAGCTCAAATTTAGTTTTAAAATTTGTATAGAGTTTTAGAACAAATTGTTCAGAGCTAGATGTGATTAGTGACAAGAAAAAAAAAATGATGATGATGATGACACCATTAATTAGGCATGCATTGCTTCCGATGTACGTACCTGCCACGGAAATTTTTATTTGAATGGTTGTAATATAATTAGTCTACTCATAGTTGATTTGCTGGTTGTGAAAAAGTCGACTGATCAATCATGATCAAATTAGAGTAATTGGATACGACCTAGCCAGTTACACTTCCCTTCACAAAAAGCGATTGTTGTATAGTGCAGGTTAATTTGTTCTAAAATAATTCAACAAGAGATTGAAAATGAACCCCAACTTGAATGCAATTACGTTTCCTTGATGACATTTTCTTCTAAACAAACTCATCAAATTGCATCACAAAGTACATAAACTATCTGAAGGTACGTTCCGTTACTTGGATGTGGACTTTTATCTGGGAAATACTATTATTGCGGAATTGGTTTGGACACTTTAATATTCTCATATTCGATAGAATTGACTATTCAGGCAAGTTGTCAAGCTGAAGGGGATATTAGTTGTACAAAGAATATGTGTTAACAAATTATTCAGAGAGGGAGAGAGAGAGAGAGAGTCATCATATACTGTATATGATCTTTCTAGAGTTCTACAACTTTATGTTTTAATTCTCGTTCAAAATTGTATAAAAGTCTAGAAATGATTAAACAACAAACAAAAATTGTTATGAAATACTCCAACAATCTGAAAGCAAAGTCTTCATGAACTATAAATTAATTGATACTTGTAACATTGTGTTTCAAGATTAATTCAATCATGTATATATCATGATCACGATCCGATGAGTACTCGAGAGAAGGCAAAAAAACTATAAGGAGATACTTGGGAGAGAAAAGTATCATAAATCCGAAGTAACGTAAACTTTTTATTCCTGAAAATTAAAGGTTAATATATAACAACTATAAAGTCACATAGGGAGGAGTAACTTAAGAAATTTATACATGAAGATGAATATTTAAAGTTTGTATCATTAGTGAGACAAGAGTTTCACCAACAACTATCTCAAATTAACTTCACTTACTGCATGTAACCATGCATACGTGAATGTAATGGTGATAACCAAATTTTCTTATTTTAACTACATCCGTCTTTGAAACCCAATTTGCTAGCAATGTTCCTGAGACTCAACTTCTCAATTTTTCCGGTGGTGGTCTTAGGGAGCTCCTCCATGAAAACCACGGTCTTAGGGACCGTATAATGCGGCAACCTGGCCCTACAAAACTCAATAATATCCCTCTCCGTCGGCCTCCCCGTCAACCCTTTTTCCTTCAAGCTCACAAACGCACACGGTGTTTCACCCCAATAATCATCCGGCCGGGCCACCACCGCCGCCTCATTAACCGCCGGATTCATGTACAACACCGACTCCACTTCCATGCTACTCACATTCTCCCCGCCACTAATTATAATATCCTTAGACCGGTCCTTAATTTCCAAGTAACCGTCCGGGTGCATTACGCCGACATCTCCAGTGTAGAACCAACCGTTTATCATACATTTCGACGTTGCCTTGGGATTTTTAAGGTAACCCAACATCACGGATCCACCTTTTAGTACGATTTCACCCATCGTCGACCCGTCTCTCTTCACTCCAAGACCCGTTTCCGGTTCAACCACGTTGACTTCCATCAACCCTAAGGTCCTCACACCTTGCCTTGCTTTCAACTTAGCCTGATCACTCGCCGGAAGTGAATTCCATTCCGGCTTCCATGCACAAGAAACCACCACACCGGCAACCTCCGTCAGCCCATATCCATGACTGACAACAAAACCCAATGACTCCGTCCGGAGAATCACCGTCGCCGGCGGCGGAGCGCCGGAGGTCATGAAATGGACCGGGTATTTCAACGGCTTTGCGAGGGGAGAATTGGCTAACATGTTTAGCACGATCGGAGCGCCACACATGTGGGTGACATTGTGTAAACCGATGAGCTTAAAAATGACTTCGGCATCGAATCTCCTTAAGCAAATGTTGGTCCCTCCGACCGCCGCCATCCCCCAACTGTAGCTCCAACCGTTTGTGTGAAACATCGGAACCGTCCATAGATAAACCGGCTGCTTTGGAACCGACCAATTCGTCAATGAATCAAAGGCAATAATATAAAGGGATCTATGCGAATGAACCACCCCTTTAGGGGATGAAGTTGTTCCGGAAGTATAATTCAAAGTCATTGGGTCCCATTCATTGTTTGGTCTGACCCACTGAAAGTCAATGGAAGCATTTCTTCCTTTGTTCACCAAACCCTCATAAGTATCATCAAAGCCGCCGATAGGCCCGGAGGAACCTGAGTTTCTATCAGCTGCATCATCGGATTCGGGCGATATCAAGATAAGCATCGGAGTAGTACTCAAGCCTTTAGGCAAACCGGAAATGGCTTCCAAGACCAATGACTTGAGATAAAAGTCAACGAACACGAGCTTTGACTCGCTGTGCTGGAGGATCACGGAGATGGTTCTGGCGTCTAGGCGCGTGTTGATGTTGTTCAAGACCGCCCCGGACATTGGGACGGCGAACTGGAGCTCGTACATGGCCGGAATGTTTGGAGCGATTGCGGAGACGACGTCGCCCCTTTTGATACCGAGGGAGGAAATGGAGGATGCGAGGTTAAGGCATCGAGTATAGGTTTGGGACCAAGTGTAAGAAACATTGTTGTCGAAAATGATTGAAGTGCATTCCCCATAAACAATGGCTGCTCTTTCCAGAAATGTTAATGGGGTTAGAGGGCATGAATTTGCAAGATCAGGCTTGAAATTATCCATTACAAAAATATCTGATGATGATGAAGAGAGAAAATCAGAGAATTAACGAATGGATGTTTTTTGTCTCTCTCACCAAACCCTAGCCATATAACATGCTACTTATAATAGTAATTCCTTTTGCTTAGATGGGTATACTTCCTCCCCTCGAACAATCGGACCAAAGAAATTTTTTTTAAAAATAATTTAACGAATCCGTCTAATAGTTTCCAGTCCATTGAACCGGAGTTGTAAAGTTATTTTAATAATCAGAATACTCAACGAAGCCGCTGACCCAACTCCCAAATGTAAATAATTACATAACAGAGAATTGACAAACTTTGATGCTGCCATCTAGGTATGTATATTAGTTTAAACGAAGTCTAATCATGTAGGTCAATTTATATATTCCCTTATAATAAAATCCGTTTCTTCCAACACCAATTTCAATAATTAATTAAGTACACCATTTCTTCATTAATCTTCTATTGTTGGAAGTCATACAACCATCTTCTTTTTTTTTATTTGTGGCATCACCCTCGGTGATGAAGAGTTTTACGGTGAGGAGGCAAAGGCCGGTGTTTATTTCTCCAGCAACACCGACTGTTGCAGCACAATGGCATGGGCATGCTAGGAATGAACCTGCCCAACTCAAGGGTAGTATCAAATATTAGTTATTATGTACTATGCCCGCGCTTTGCGCGTCGCAGATAGATATGATTCTTTGAAACTTCTACAATGAACAAATTCTTTGAATAGACTATTCCTGCTGAATTCTAGCACTTGCATAAAGGTTTGGGCAGAAAGAGAATAGCTGAGGTACACAAATGCAGGAGTGTATGTTATGAGATTTCACAAATATTTTGACCCGATCTACACGGGAAAAAAAACTACGGTAGGTTAAACTTACGGGAGACTGTAACAAATTTATTGAAGACAACAGAATTGCAGAAGGGAGCGAATGTGAAATTCGTTGGACAACGAAAGCATCCAACCTTTGAAGAATGATGTGAAGTTTATATTTACTGTCCAAGATTGATTACATGCTTTAAAATAAAAGCACATCGTTTATGTTGTCAGTTTGAAGGAGTTTGTTTATTTGTCAGTTATAAGGAATTTGTTTATTTTATTAATCCTATTTTACATGATTTAAGTAGAATATCCTAAATGAAATATTTTATTAATCCTATTTTACATGATTTAAGGAGAATATCCTAAATAAAATTAGGAGACCATGATTAGAATGATTAATTATAGTTATTTTTGTTTTCTCAAAAATATGGGTAGGATTTGAGATTACTAAACTCACGATGGGTTGTTTAATTTATTTAATAAGTAGGCCAAAAAAAAATACAGCAAAAGAAATGGAAGGAAATAAGTAGGCCAAATATATATACCGCAAAAAAACATAAGAAATGACAGTAAAGAGGATTGAGTGAGATGGTGAAGGTGATGAAAGAGATCGCCGCAATATCGTTAGATCTTCGTTAAAAGAGCAATATTTTTAACAAAAAGAATAATTAATTAAAATGGTAGTTGGAGTTCCCTTCACGAAAACTTGAACGTTGTACACTTCCACTGTCTGTGAATAGTTATTTAGTTTGAATTGTACTTTTGACACAATTGTGGATAATTATTTTGGAATATAAAAAATATGTGTTATTCTCTTTTTTTTCTATGAACAAATGGTGGGCATAGCCTAGTAAACTATTGCATTTTTTGGGTATGAGACCCCCACTCCATCATGATGGAGCCAGGGTTTAACAAAGGCGGCTGGTTTTTTTTTTCTTTTTTAAATCTACATATAAAATTGAAAACATGCCCCAACTTTTCTATACACCCTATAACCAAAAACAATGATGAAATTGATTTTCTTGTCTTAGTACATTTCCAAACTGTAAAATTAATCGGTCGGATGGAGTTTTTAGTATATGGAAGATATTTCTCTGAATCAATTCAGCAAATGAGATAAGATTACAATGATTCCATGTCCCAAAAAAAGCTCAAATTTAGTTTTAAAATTTGTATAGAGTTTTAGAACAAATTTTAAAATTAAACGCGGACTATTACATTTTTTTGAACTCTGAATGCAGTCAGTATAATGAACAAAGTGTATTTTCTTTTCGAACAAAATTATCGAATTGGACTTTATCGGCTTTTAGCGTTTACAAATTGTTCAGAGCTAGATGTGATTAGTGACAAGAAAAAAAAAATGATGATGATGATGACACCATTAATTAGGCATGCATTGCTTCCGATGTACGTACCTACCACAAAAATTTTCATTTGAATGGTTGTAATATAATTAGTCTACTCATAGTTGATTTGCTGGTTGTGAAATAGTCAACTGATCAATCATGATCAAATCAGAGTAATTGGATACGACCTAGCCAGTTACACTTCCCTTCACAAAAAGCAATTGTTGTATCGTGCAGGTTAATTTGTTCTAAAATAATTCAACAAGAGATTGAAAATAAACCCCAACTTGAATGCAATTACGTCTCCTTGATGGTATTTTCTTCTAAATAAACTCATCAAATTGCATCACAAAGTACATAAATTATCTGAAGGTACGTTCCGTTACTTGGATCTGGACTTTTATATGGGAAATACTATTATTGCGGAATTGGTTTGGACACTTTAATATTCTCATATTCGATAGAATTGACTATTCAGGCAAGTTGTCAAGCTGAAGGGGATATTAGTTGTACAAAGAATATGTGTTAACAAATTATTCAGAGAGGGAGAGAGAGAGAGAGAGTCATCATATACTGTATATGATCTTTCTAGAGTTCTACAACTTTATGTTTTAATTCTCGTTCAAAATTGTATAAAAGTCTAGAAATGATTAAACAACAAACAAAAATTGTTATGAAATACTCCAACAATCTGAAAGCAAAGTCTTCATGAACTATAAATTAATTGATACTTGTAACATTGTGTTTCAAGATTAATTCAATCATGTATATATCATGATCACGATCCGATGAGTACTCGAGAGAAGGCAAAAAAACTATAAGGAGATACTTGGGAGAGAAAAGTATCATAAATCCGAAGTAACGTAAACTTTTTTATTCCTGAAAATTAAAGGTTAATATATAACAACTATAAAGTCACATAGGGAGGAGTAACTTAAGAAATTTATACATGAAGATGAATATTTAAAGTTTGTATCATTAGTGAGACAAGAGTTTCACCAACAACTATCTCAAATTAACTTCACTTACTGCATGTAACCATGCATACGTGAATGTAATGGTGATAACCAAATTTTCTTATTTTAACTACATCCGTCTTTGAAACCCAATTTGCTAGCAATGTTCCTGAGACTCAACTTCTCAATTTTTCCGGTGGCGGTCTTAGGGAGCTCCTCCATGAAAACCACGGTCTTAGGGACCGTATAATGCGGCAACCTGGCCCTACAAAACTCAATAATATCCCTCTCCGTCGGCCTCCCCGTCAACCCTTTTTCCTTCAAGCTCACAAACGCACACGGTGTTTCACCCCAATAATCATCCGGCCGGGCCACCGCCGCCGCCTCATTAACCGCCGGATTCATGTACAACACCGACTCCACTTCCATGCTACTCACATTCTCCCCACCACTAATTATAATATCCTTAGACCGGTCCTTAATTTCCAAGTAACCGTCCGGGTGCATTACGCCGACATCTCCAGTGTAGAACCAACCGTTTATCATACATTTCGACGTTGCCTTGGGATTTTTAAGGTAACCCAACATCACGGATCCACCAACGATTTCACCCATCGTTGACCCGTCTCTCTTCACTCCAAGACCCGTTTCTGGTTCAACCACGTTGACTTCCATCAACCCTAAGGTCCTCACACCTTGCCTTGCTTTCAACTTAGCCTGATCACTCGCCGGAAGTGAATTCCATTCCGGCTTCCACGCACAAGAAACCACCACGCCGGCAACCTCCGTCAGCCCATATCCACGACTGACAACAAAGCCCAATGACTCCGTCCGGAGAATCACCGTCGCCAGCGGCGGAGTGCCGGAGGTCATGAAATGTACTGGGTTTTTCAACGGCTTTGCGAGGGGAGAATTGGCTAACATGTTTAGCACAATCGAAGTGCCGCACATGTGGGTGACATTGTGTAAACCGATGAGCTTAAAAATGACTCCGGCATCGAATCTCCTTAAGCAAATGTTGGTCCCTCCGACCGCCGACATCCCCCAACTGTAGCTCCAACCGTTTGTGTGAAACATCGGAACCATCCATAGATAAACTGGCTGCTTCGAAACCGACCAATTCGTCAATGAATCAAAGGCAATAATATAAAGGGATCTATGCGAATGAACCACGCCTTTAGGGGATGAAGTTGTTTCGGAAGTATAATTCAAAGTCATTGGGTCCCATTCATTGTTTGGTCTGACCCACTGAAAGTCAACGGAAGCATTTCTTCTTTTGTTCACCAAACCCTCATAAGTATCATCAAAGCCGCCATAGGCCCGGAGGAACCGGAGTTTCTATCAGCTGCATCATCGGATTCGGGAGATATCAAGATAAGCATCGGAGTAGTACTCAAGCCTTTAGGCAAACCGGAAATGGCTTCCAAGAACAATGACTTGAGATAAAAGTCAACGAACACGAGCTTTGACTCGCTGTGCTGGAGGATCACGGAGATGGTTCTGGCGGCTAGGCGCGTGTTGATGTTGTTCAAGACCGCCCCGGACATTGGGACGGCGAACTGGAGCTCGTACATGGCCGGAATGTTTGGAGCGATTGCGGAGATGACGTTGCCCCTTTTGATACCGAGGGAGGAAATGGAGGATGCGAGGTTAAGGCATCGAGTATAGGTTTGGGACCAAGTGTAAGAAACATTGTTGTCGAAAATGATTGAAGTGCATTCCCCATAAACAATGGCTACTCATTCCAGAAATGTTAATGGGGTTAGAGGGCATGAATTTGCAAGATCAGGCTTGAAATTATCCATTACAAAAATATCTGATGATGATGAAGAGAGAAAATCAGAGAATTAAAGAATGGATGTTTTTTGTCTCTCTCGCCAAATCCTAGCCATGTAACATGCTACTTATAATAGTAATTCCTTTTGCTTAGATGGGTATACTTCCTCCCCTCGAACAATCGGACCAAAGAAATTTTTTTAAAAAATAATTTAACGAATCCGTCTAATAGTTTCCAGTCCATTGAACCGGAGTTGTAAAGTTATTTTAATAATCAGAATACTCAACGAAGCCGCTGACCCAGCTCCCAAATGTAAATAATTACATAACAGAGAATTGACAAACTTTGATGCTGCCATCTAGGTATGTATATTAGTTTAAACGAAGTCTAATCATGTAGGTCAATTTATATATTCCCTTATAATAAAATCCGTTTCTTCCAACACCAATTTCAATAATTAATTAAGTACACCATTTCTTCATTAATCTTCTATTGTTGGAAGTCATACAACCATCTTCTTTTTTTTTATTTGTGGCATCACCCTCGGTGATGAAGAGTTTTACGGTGAGGAGGCAAAGGCCGGTGTTTATTTCTCCAGCAACACCGACTGTTGCAGCACAATGGCATGGGCATGCTAGGAATGAACCTGCTCAACTCAAGGGTAGTATCAAATATTAGTTATTAATTAAAGCACATTTTGTCCTTAACATATTCCGTTAACTATGTACTATGCCCGCGCTTTGCGCATCGGGGATAGATATGATTCTTTGAAACTTCTACAATGAACAAATTCTTTGAACAGACTATTCCCGCTGAATTCTAGCACTTGCATAAAGGTATGGGCAGAAAGAGAATAGCTGAGGTACACAAATGCAGAAGTGTATGTTATGAGATTTCACAAATACTTTGACCCGATCTACACAGAAAAAAAACTACGGTAGGTTAAACTCACGAGAGACTGTAACAAATTTATTGAAGACAACAGAATTGCAGAAGGGAGCGAATGTGAAATTCGTTGGACAACAAAAGCATCCAACCTTTGAAGAATGATGTGAAGTTTATATTTACTGTCCAAGATTGATTACATGCTTTAAAATAAAAGCACATCGTTTATGTTGTCAGTTTGAAGGAGTTTGTTTATTTGTCAGTTATAAGGAATTTGTTTATTTTATTAATCCTATTTTACATTATTTAAGTAGAATATCCTAAATGAAATATTTTATTAATTCTATTTTATATGATTTAAGGAGAATATCCTAAATAAAATTAGGAGACCATGATTAGAATGATTAATTATAGTTATTTTTGTTTTCTCGAAAATATGGGTAGGATTTGAGATTACTGAACTCACGATGGGTTGTTTAATTTATTTAATAAGTAGGCAAAAAAAAAAAAATACAGCAAAAGAAATGGAAGGAAATAAGCAGGCCAAATATATATACCACAAAAAAACATAAGAAAAAACATATCCAAAGGAAATAAGTAGGCCAAATATATATACGCCAAAAAAACAGAAGAAAAAACATATCCAAACATCGCGCTGTTTGAATTTATAAACTTTTTTTTGTTTCATTTTTGATATGGCTGTTTGTAGTTCGATACAACAAATACGAACTAATAACAGGTTAAAAGGAGAACGACCGTAGCCGTTTTTTATAAGATTCGTTTCTTTTTGATAAATATTTAAGGGAGATGATATTAGTATATCAATAGGAATCTTTTCAATTAAAAGGATAAGGCCAGAATTTAAGGAAAAATAGAAACTAATATCAATCATTAACAAAATGGACAAATTATAGTGAAGATTAAAGTACATTTAAAATCGGAAATGCTAACATGAGTTTATATGAAGAAGGGATAAATCCAAATGTAAAATAAATTTTTATCTATACATGGTGGAAGTTTTTCGTGTAGGGCTTAGGGTAGTTTGAAATATGTTTATATTGCAATTATATTTTTTTAAAAAAAATTCAATTTGATTATTACTGCAAACGATAAGATAAGATTTGTTCAAAAGTTGATGAATAAGAAAACAATAGGTCATAGGTGATTAAAAGAATGGTAAAGGATTTCATGATAATCATTAAAGAAATGTTGCGATTTCATAATTATCATATTATAACGTTTCGAACCCCCTCACCATCTTCATCACCTCTCCATCATCACCTCCACGCACCAGATCTTCTTCCAAGCTTAAAAAGAAAGAAAAAAAAAAGAAAAAACTTCAATAAAAAAGAGAATGGCCTTTGTAGCACTTTTGGAAGGGTTTGCCTTTGTAGATTATACATTTCTTTTTCTCGTGTAGAAGATTCTTTTCCACAGTTCTCGTTTCTCAAAAAAAATGAGAAAATCCTACAGTAAAAAAATAAACAACTAAAAATCAAATGTGGTTGCCATTATCCTAGGCCTTAACCCCGCAAAGCCAAAACCATTACACCACAAAAAAAAAAAAGCCACAGTAGCCGAAGCCTTCTTCCAAAAGTATGTATTTTTGGGAGTGCAACCAAAGGTTTTACCTTTACATGTGAAACCAAAAATTGCTAAGCCTACACAAAAGATCAGAAGGAATAAAAAGGAATATGCTAATTTAAGTACATGAGACAAATAACTGTGGGCAAGGAAAATGTTAAAATGCTAAAAATCGTGCCTTGCTTTGAGATAGCAACTCCAGTTGAATTTTGTACCAGACTAATAATGAAATGAAATTAAGCTAAGCTGTCATACTACAAACCTACATGTTGACTAACTAAGCTTCTGTTTTCCCATTTTGGCGTATCAATTTGTATAGGTAATGATGGACGCTACGGAGTCCTAGAGCCTCCAGACTCCAGAGGCATAAGAGGAAGCACATCTGCATCACTTCCAGAGGCATAAAAGGAATATTGATTATTGACCTTTATTTTTGAACCTCATCACAGCCACCTGAACCAAGCGACACTCTCATTTCTCGAAGCAATCATGACATAACTCATAGCGAAGGAATCATGACCAACAGTTTATGTTAAGTACCTTGTGCAAGATTAGAATAAGCATTAATCCATTGCCTAGCAATCTTCGAATTTGGAACCTGCAATCCAAAAATCCATCATAAACACTACAACAAAAAAGGCCTATTAATACCCTTTCTTTGGGACACTTTTGACCAAAAGTGTCCCATTATCATATAATAGGACATTTTCTAGAAAAGAGTCTCATTAAAATTTGAGTAAGTGTCCTTAACATAATAATACATAATTATTAAGTATTTACTTAAGTTTTGTGTCCTATTAGATTATTTAATAGGACACTTAAGAGTGTATTAAAGTATAACATAAATTAATCACTTCATAGTGTCCCATTACAATATGTAATGTGACACATAAGAGTGTACAATTGCAAACTTTCTTGAATGTGTAGAAACACATATGTAGTAAATGAGAGTGGTTTCTTATTTTAACTTTTGTAATTTTCTAGTATTTAATAATACAAAACTAATTATTTTAAAAGACAAAAATTAAATTTTTTATAGTGAACTGTTATTTTATTATGTGCACCATTGAAAACCCAAAAAAATATAAAAAAGAAAAAAAATCCAGGAATCAATATTTAATTGAAGGAACATACCTTGTAAGTAGAATTTCACATGTTCAACTTGATCATGATTGTTCCAGGTCCCATACTCGACACAACTTCATGTTAATGTTCCATTGAGCCTTCTTGACATTGACATAGTTTACAAAAAGCAAAAATAGAGAACAATAATGAGTGATCGTGTGAGTATATTCATGTGTGCTTATGAGAATATAATGTCTTGTGCAGGTTGTGTTATGTGAACAAAAGGTATCTATATAGGCAAAGAAATCAAAGTATGATACATTAGGGTTGCCTGCATCTTGCCACCACAATTATAAGAACATTCAAATTTCAACTATGATTTGGGAAATTATCTTCAATTGAGGTTCTTCAATGAAATCAGGGAAGGATAATGTTCAATTTGGAGAGGGATCACGTAGTACCATAAGAATCACATTCAAATTGTAATTGTTATTTTAGGAAATTATCTTAACTTTATTAGTTAAGGGACAATTTATACTGATCCTTATGCGCAAAAAGAAGTTAAGGGAGGAGATTTCCAATTTGGAGCTCGAGAAGGGGTTTCTTGAGCATGAGAAAGCAATCCACGAGGAGGCAAAGAAGAAGGAACAGTTAATGCGGGCTGCCGAGGGAGAGCTGGCCACTGCCCAGGCCATGTATAAGGAACTCAAGCCCAAACTGAAAGAATATGGGGAAACCCATATACCCAAAACAGAGTTGCAGAAATGGATGACTGCATATTGGGCCAGAATGAAACCCACTGGAGGGATGGCCAGTGTCATGGTGGGCATCAATGAAGCATTGCACTAGGCAGCCATGGCGTGGCTATTGCCGCTCTCGAAAGAATAGAATCTGGAAAGCCTATCAATGCCGGCTGGCTACAACAATTCGTGAAACCGCATCCTTGAAAAACCCTACATGAAGCTATAAAGAATGGGTTGATGCATCTTGGCACTGAACAACTCCCTTTGTTTGGGCCTTTGTGTAGCGCTATCCCCCAAATGGGTTCACCCTCAGAAATCACCTCTTTTGAAGGAGATGCCTCAACGGTGTTACCTGCTAAGTCTGGGGAAGAGATGCGGGTGCCCGAGCTTGACCGAGATTTCATTGGTGTCGAGCTAGTTTCTGACGAAGATTCCTCTGAGAAGGTCGAGGAGGATAAGGAAGAAGAGCGGGAGCCTAAAGTTGAGAAGGAACCAGCAGGCGAGAAAGAGGTTTCCTCGA